AATGATTTACTTGGGGAAAATGGAATGAAATTTTGTCAAGTCATGTGCAATGAAACCCGAATTAACTGAAATCTAATTTAGTAGACTACAGATCTCAGTGAAAATGGGGGAACAAAGAAAACATGCATAAATTGAGCTTCTAGTGCATGTCAGACACTGCTAGGCACTGGGACAACAGCAGTGGAGCTACTCTAGGAAATTATAGTCTTCATAAATGGAAATCCGCTGTTTAATTCCAGTCAACTAGCAAGAGCTCCAAGATTTGCCTTTAAGCCAGACAGTAAATCATTTCATTGTTCTTTTTCTTTTTTTTCTGAGACAGAGTCTCACTATGTCGGGTAGAGTGCTATGGTGTCATAGCTCACAGCAACCTCAAACTCCTGGGCTCAAGTGATTCTCTTGCTTCAGCCTCCCAAGTAGCTGGGACCACAGGGGCTCACTGCAACGGTCGGCTATTTTTTTTTGTTGTTGTTGTTATTGTTGCAGTTGTCATTGTTTAGCAGGCCTGGGCTGGGTTTGAACCCACCAGCCCCAGTGTATGTAGCTGGTGCCCTAACCACTGAGCTACAGGGGCCTAGCCTCATTGTTCTTTTAAGATTGTTTCCTATGGCTCCATTTCACAGGCCATGTCTCAGAAGCCTCTTTGGACTTCTTCTTTGGGATCTGCTTGAAAGTAGGATGTTTTGCCAGCTGCTCTAAGGCCCCAGTGCAAAAGCTACAGCAATCAGTTTGGTGACTAACAGTAGGCTGTCTATTTAAATCATAAACTACATGGGTGAGTGGGGAAAAGTCTTCAGTATTTTATATTCCCTGATCTAAACACACCAAATGTAAGAAAGACATTTAGGAGACAACTGGGATTACAAACACTGACTAGACATTTCATGTTATCTAATTATTGTTAATTTTGTAAGTGTGGTAATAAAGGGATTGTGCCTATGTTTTTTTATTTTTTTAAAGATCTCTCTGGGATATATACTAAAATATTTATGGATAAAATGATATAAGTTTTTCTTTGCAATAATTCAGCAGGTCTAGGGCAATTGATGAAATAGGATTGGCCATATGTTGGTGGTTGCTTGGGGTTGTGAGTAGATGGGGCTACACTGTACTATCATACCATCTTTTGTATATGTTTTACATCTTCCATAACGTTTAAAAAAGAATAAAAACAATAAATTTTGGCTTTAGGAGGCCAAAGTGGGTGGACTGCCTGAGCTCACAGGTTCAAGACTAGCCCGAGCAAGTTCAAGACCTCATCTCTAAAAAACAGCCAGGCGTTGTGGTGGGCACCTGTAGTCCCAGCTACTTGGGAGGCTGAGGCAAGAGAATTGCTTGAGCCCAAGAGTTTGAGGTTGCTGTGAGCTATGACACCATGGCACTCTACAAAGGGCGACAAAATAAGACTCTGTCTCAAAAAAAAAGAAACCTCCTCAAATATAATAAATTTTAAATTAAAAATATTTCTTTTTCCTCTCTACTATCTGAGTCTATTAGAATAAATAGAAGGTGCTTAATTACTGCTTTTGGTCTCCCTATAAAGTAGGTGATGTCAGGGACTGCTGTACTCACTTCTGTAGACACAATACATGTACCCAGTACTCAGGAATCCTTCTTACCAGAGGTTGCCTGTTTATCTCCTTATCAGAAGTTTTCATGAAGCTGGTACTTGTAAAATTAAACGTAAGGAATTCTCTCTAATATCTGAGGTCTCTTCATTTTCTTCCCCTTTATTATGATTTTGGAGGGTACACAGCCAAGAAAAATTGAGAACTTGAACTCCTCAGATAAGAAACAGGTACCAAAAGGAAACAGAGAAGCAAGTTTCTTTTCTTTCTTTTTTTTTTTTTTTTTGAGACAGAGTCTCAGTTTGTCACCGTTGGTAGAGCACCTCGGCGTCATAGCTCCCAGAAATCTCAAACTCTTGGGCTCAAGAATCCTCGTGCCTTAGCTTTCCAAGTAGCTGGGAGAGAAGCAAGATTCCATTGGCTCTGGACATCCTCAATGTCCTCTGACACTGTAGGACAGGGTTTTTGAATGCCAAAGTTTCTCTTATACTAAAGTTTTGAAAGTAATGATTATGCCTCTGTAAGAAAAAATTAAAACTGCCCAAACTGAAACCTTAACTATTGATCACAGGATCCACCTATGCTACCCAGCTGTTCTAGCAACAAAGGTCTAAAAACATCTCCCCTTTTGATCAGACAGGCAGGCATTCCACATGTACACTCGAAACCACACCAGGCTACTTCTTAAGACTGTAAATCACAAGAGGAAACCGCCTAGACCAATGAAGCAGTGACTTTTATGATTAGATATATGTGTCAGGGGTGTGGGATTGGGAGAAACATTTACTAGAAGCCACCGGCAGTTCTATTTAGAGTTAATAAAGCTTACCAGGACCCTGGGTCTCATGCAGCATGCAGCAAACAGCACAGTTAACTGTAAAACAGTAAGAGCTGATGAAGATGGGGGAGCATGAGGAGAAATCAAATATTATGAGCTGACACAAACAATGAAGGGTTAGAGGTCAACCGAGATTAGGAGTAGTAGGAAGGGGAAGTGGGAAGGGCAGGTTGGTAGGGACCCCTGAAACACTGGAACTCTTTTTTAATCTCTTTAGGGAAAGCCAAAGGAAATTCTGCATGTGTAAATATTAGATCCAGTTACCATCTCTCAAGAAGAAATACTACTACCATGATTTCTACCCTTAAAACCCACTACCACTATGGGAGCAGGGTCTAATGATAGCTCTCCCAGAAATTAACTAATTGTTCATGGAATTATCTAAGAAGCCCAGACCTAGGGCCACTTAGGTATCTGGAAGTACAGAGGACAGGCCATTTAATTAGTCCCTTTTTGCTAATACGAGGTGTCGCATGCCAGCAAGGTTTTCAACCATCTCTGAACTTGAAAAGGGTACCATCGCCAACCCCAAGTATTCCTGGAGACTGGAGAGAAGTGTCTCCCTTTCTAGGGTCTTCTGCCTGGGGTAGGGAAAGTCAGTCAATTTGAGATGACTAGGGGAAAGCCTGGTCAGAGAGGAACTTTTATTGAACATCTGAATAGGAAAGAAATACTTATAGGGTAGTTTGTTCAGACTGCACTGACACTCATCTCTCAATTCCACATGCAGGCTGTGAAACTGTCCCAGAGACTGAGTTAACACATACCATAGGCCTATGAAAGTAGCAGGTTAGAGCTGGAAAAATTTAGATTTTTCTGATCTTAAAACTAGGAATCCATTCCTGCTGGTGCAATACACCATGACAGTTCATAACAGTAGAGGGTTATCCAAAGAGACTTTTTTCTGGCTAGTTGAACTTTATTCATCAGGTAATACCCCAAATGTTAATTAATCAGTAAATTTGACATATAGTATTAAGATCCAGTAACAAAAAAAAATCTCTGGACTAATCTGTGAAAACATTCAAATTAAATATTTGAATAGAAGATAATTGGATTGCAAAAAGTAAGTGCCTTTAAATATAAAACTATTTTCTTTCTTTCTTTCTTTTTTTAGAGACAGAGTCTCACTTTATCACCCTCAGTAGAGTGTCGTGGCATCACAGCTCACAGCAACCTCCAACTCCTAGGCTTAGGTGATTTTCTTGCCTCAGCCTCCCAAGTAGCTGGGACTACAGGCGCCCGCCACAACACCCAGCTATTTTTTGTTGCAGTCTGGCCAGAGCCGGGTTCGAACCTGCCACCCTCGGTATATGGGGCCGGTGCCCTACCCACTGAGCCATAGGTGCCGTCCATAAATATAAAAATATTTTACTGTTGTATGAAAGTTACTATGTTAAGGGATAAGCCAGGCACAGAAGAAAGATGCTTCTTCCTTCTGGCAAATGTCCAATAATTAAGTCCAGGAACAAGTGGCTAAAAATAGAAGGCAATGACTATGGACATCTTTTAGATCCTACTCCATCTGGGAGCTCCTCAGTCACAGTGTACAAACAACTACAGGGCAATAGGGGACCACTGGGTGTTTTCTTGATGTTGTATAGGTCCCATCAGAAATACCTTTATCTGGATCTAAAATCAGGAATGGGTAACTTCAGGAAGCAGAGACTGGGGTTGGGTTAGGATCACTGACCCACAAGGTAACCAAGAGCTCATACTGTTTTGCTTTACCAAATGTCAGGCGATATAGATTGGTTTGAAAATAACTCCCCAGACTGAGGATGGGGCACACAGAGTAAGAACACTGCCATCTGGAGTGGCTCCCTGCTAAGTTCTCGGCACCCCAGGCTGGGCAGCCAGGAAAGGAGGGATAGCAAAGCCTTCAGTGGCGGCTGGTTAAATTCTGTCTGTTGGCTGCAGCTAGCGAGAACGGAGGCAGGATGAGGACTGGACTTACAGGTGTGAAGGGGTAAACCACTTCAGCTATAGGAGGAGTGAGTAGGCCTAGAAGCCACATCAGCTGCAACCTCACCAGAGGCAGGGAAGAAGGGGCCCAGAGGCGTCTGTTAAAGAATCGCTTTCTTGGGAGGTGCCTATAGTTCAAAGGAGTAGGGCACCGGCCCTATATGCCAGAGGTGGCGGGTTCATAACCCAGCCCCAGGCAAAAACTGCAGGAAAAAAAAAGAATCACTTTCTTCCACTACCTTCTATCTGCCCTTCTTTTTGCTCCTCTCATCTATGTAACTCTGTACCTCTCAGCATCTGCTCCCTTCTGTCTCACACTCACTTTCCTTTTCTTCTTCTTTGCTTTCCTCTCCCATCTACCTTGAGTTTTCAGGGGCTTTCCTAAGTGGGCCAAACAGAGGGGTGGGGCTTCTAAGACCACAACCCTCCCCTACCTTCAGCTCCCCAAACTTGAGGAGTCCAAAGGTCCCATGCGGGCACTGAGGCTAGCGATAGGTACCCAAATTAGTCCGACAGTCCATGGCTCACCCTGGGTTACCAGCCCTGAGCCTCCTCAGCCTCCAGGCCCTGCCCCTTGGGGAGGAAGAGGAGAGGAAGAAGGCACCACCCCAGGACAGCCTACTACTTACTTTTTCTTCTCTTTGTCCCTCTTCAGAGTCTGTGAGCCTCCAGCCTGGGAGCCCTGGGACTGCAGCAGCTCGGCCGCAGTCTTTCTCTGTTTGAAAGCGTTAACTTCATCATCCAAGGATTTCTTTTTATCCTCCAGCTTCTTCTTCTCATCCTGGTGCAGTTTCTTCAGGCGATCAAACTTCTCATGCAGCTGGTAGGGAAGCACAGGGAGATGGAAGGGAGCCCTCCACGAGCAGCCGCTAGCCGGGCCAAGCCCAGGGGAGGTGGGGAGGCAGGGCTATAACCCTGTAGGACCCTGGGACCTCAGGAGACATTTCTGCCGGGGACTGCCATAATGGCACCAAAGAGGGCCACACTCGGGTCATTCTCTCCTCTTGCCTTTTTATTTCAAAGTCTCGGCTCCTGAATATGGTCAAGAGCAGTGCATTCTACTTAATCATTGTTTGAAGGAGTCTCCATAGTTACCAAATGTGGTAAATAACATTTATAATAATAATATAACATTTACTGAGTGTTTATTATAGGCCAACACTGACTTTTATAGGCACTTTGTGTATATTCACTTAAGTATTACAACAATTTTATGAGGATACAAAGGATCTGAGAAGTTAAGGAATTTGCCCAAGGACAACTCAATCTTTATTTTTTTATTATTTATTTATTTATTTATTTATTTTGAGTAAGAGTTTCAGTTTGTTGCCCTCGGTAGAGTGCCATGGTGTCACAGCTCATAGCAACCTCCAACTCCTGGGCTTAGGCAATTCTCTTGCCTCAGCCTCCTGAGTAGCCGGGACTACAGGCACCCGCCACAACACCTGGCTATTTTTTCTCGCAGTTTGGCCAGGGCCGGGTTTAAACCCACCACCCTCAGTATATGGGGCTGGCGCCCTACCCACTGAGCTGCAGGCACCACCTACAACCCAATCTTTAGAGGGTTATGTAATAGGACCTCTCATACATAAGGGACCCAAGGCCTTATTTCAATCCCCTGCAATGAGGCAGGATCACCATGGATTACTAAAAAAACTGTAGCAATGGTAAAGCTTATCAAAGGAAATACTTGGGTTTAGACATGGAAGGAAATAAAAGGATTTTTTTTTCTTTGAGACTGGGCTAGAGTCAGCAGGCTGGAAGGTCATGACATAATCATAGCTCACTGCAGCCTTAAACTCCTGGGCTCATCATCTTGCCTCAGCCTCCCAAGTAGCTGGGACTACAGATTTGTGCCACTACACCCAGCTAATTTTTCAATTTTTTTTTATAGAGATGGGGATCTTGCTATTTTTCCCAGACTGGTCTCAAAATTCTGGGCTCAAGCAACCTTCCAACCTCAGCTTCCCAAAGCACTGGGGTTACAAACATGAACTACCATGCTCAGCTCATAAGATATTTTTATTTTTTGTGGCTTGGCGCCTATAGCTCAACTGGCTAAGGCGCCAGCCACGTACACCTAAGGCGGCGGGTTCAAATCCCCAGCCCGGACCCACCAAACAACAATGACGGCTGCAACCAAAAAATAGCC